CAAATTAACTCAGTCTCAAGTTACTAGAATACCAGAATTGTTCATATCCAGAAGAGGGGAATCCAAAAGCAGCAGGATATTGGTGTTTTTATCTGTGTAACACTGCTTTCTTTGGTCATGGCCTGAGCTAGAGTTATATGAGAAATTAGTATGACTGTTTCTGGTGTGCTGTTCTGGAGAAATGAATCAGCTTTTAAGGCAATGGAAGAAATTCACTAACTGAAATATTCATGATTCACAGTTGGCCCTTGATTCTATTTGTTGTCACTGTTTCTCTTCATTTACATTAACTTCCCCAAACCAGATTGTTTTGCTGTGAATGTAGTACTGAATACAGTTCCCCTGATCCTCAAGGCTACATTAATTTGCAAGATTGTCCCACGAAACAAAGTAATTTTATGTGGTCTTTTCTGTTATCTTTGCCAATAGTTTTTTTTAGTCTTTATTTTTCCAAAGCTTTGTCTTTTAGTGTGGAGAGATATAAACTATGTTCTCCCCCTTTGCTCTTTATTAAAAGCCTTCTTTCCTTGTCTTCAGAGTATACAAAAGTGTTATGTTTCCCAAGGACTGTCATCACAGTGGGACATTTGATACTTGCTTCTTTTTGGAGACATTCTTCTATTCCTGTGTGTGAACCTCTACTTACAACTGCATGCAGGGACCAAACCAACTCATTGCTCAGGTCATCTCTCTGTAGCAGTCAGCTTTGTTTAAAATCAGTAGAGTTTTGGGCTTCAAACCATGATGCACTTCCTGTCAGGCTTCTCACTCCAGTTCTGTTGTCGCAACAATTTTTATTCACCATAAAAAGGTTGTGTGCATAGTTGGGATAAAGAAAAAGTTAGGATTTTAGAAAATAAAGGAATTATCAGTGCCAGCACTTGGCCTCATGATTCCTACAAGCAGGGTAAGTCACTGTTTAGTTCAAACACCAGAACGTGTTATGTCACAAACTTCTTGGACTGGAGAGGTAGGGCTACTTCAGTTCTGGGTTTACCTGCTGGTTTTGGAGACAGCAGTAGCAGTTGACCAGCCACTAGAATTTCCTGTCTTACTGAAACAACCTGTAAAATTCACTCCTAAAACCAAAGGCCATGAAGTTGACTAAGCCCAGCTTAATAGATCCTTTGCCTAACTCTCTCTCTGTTCAGCTTTCATAGCCGTGGCAGGAGACCGAAGATGAAGATGATGGTAAGGCAAGTTCTGTGTAGGTGTTTCACACTCATCTCAAAGAGACAATTTTCTTTTCTGTCACTTGTGTGATTTTATTCTGTATGTACATAGACAGATTCCTTGATTCATCACATAAGTTATAAATTCCATTTTGTTTCCATGATCTGTGAGTCTCCCTGTGTCTGGGACTGTCATGTGCTAACAAGAGACAGGAGGGTTGCCAGCGTGTCAGTCATTACAGACTCTCTCCATTTAGTTTACTCTTAACTAGGAGTGGCAAATGAGGAATGGGATCTTAAATAAGGACAGCATATCCCTCTCGGGAAGAACCAAGACAAAGCAGCCAGGTGGTAATATTTGGATTTCAAAGCCAGGAAGGATTTTTGGAAACAGAAGCAGCTTGGTCAGGAAAGATAAAGTGATGCACGGACACACCAGAGGGGTCTTGTGACATAGGCAGTAGGGAGGCAGTGGAAGCCACTGTTTGAAGAAGCAGCTGTCTGCTGATGGGGAATGGGAGGGGAAGGTCCCTGAGCACCAAAGGGGATCTCAAAAAATCTCAAGAAAAATGCAAGAGTGAGGAAACATTGCCAGAGAGATATACATGTGTTTACTGTTTCATGTGGCTCTGTGTCTCTCTTGTGGTCATTAAAGTGAAGAGAGGCTGCTTTTGAGACAGTTTGCAAAGTCTGTGTATTACCCGTTTTAACTTTGTGAGATGCTGGAGAGATAAACTGTCGCTCAGATGTTGACTGT